TTGTAGCTCTGCCAGGGTGTGGGAGAGAAGGATGGGGGACCTCCATCCCCCAGAGATGCTTCTGAGGATGAAGCCAAAAGTCCACGGGAGGCCATGAGCACCTGGAGAGCAGGTATCCAAGTCAGAAGAAGGGCTCCAAAGGGCCGCCCAGCCCCATGCTGAATTCCCTCCCCTGCCACCCCTTCACTAAGGCAGTCTGAGCTTATCCCAAATCTCCGCTGGTTGCTATGGAAATGATCGTACATCTAAACAGAACAGATACCTTGGGCACTCATTTTCTTCCAAAACTGGGCAAGGAAAGCTATTAAGATTTCACTTACTTGGATAAGATGTAGAAGACATTATATTAGGGTTCAGAGAAGATGTTTACTTATTTATTCAGCATTACCCGCATCAGAGTGAGGCTACCCAGTGGCAGTGGGAGAAGCCAGGATTGGAGGTTCAGGTGTGAAGCTTAACTCCCAGTGGAGACAGAGAGAGGCCTGGGCTTTAGGATGTTGGCCATTTGTTGTTGTTGCTGTTGTTGTTTTGTTTTGGTTTGGTTTGGTTTGGCTTTTGATTTTTTTTTTCCCCTTAAGGGATAAAAGAATTCCCACCATGAAATTTTGAAAGAGCAGGTGGAGAATGAGAGACGGTGGTTGCAAGGCTCTCTCTACACAGAGAGATGCAAGTTAGCAGGAAATCCTGGATTAGAACCAGGTCGCTTTACTCTTCTGGCCAAATGCTTCTGGAAACTTCTTTGTGGTCACCTCCCTCTCATTCAAGAACTCTGCCGAAATAGAATCAAGCTCTTGGGAGTACTTAGGTCAAAAGAACAATCTAGAAGTGAGAAAATGCCTAAGCAGAGAAACGGGTGCAATAAGGGGCCATGTGGCCTAACTCAGGTTCCCTTGGGTGGAGGCAGAGGGTGGAGGCCAGAGGAGCCTCCCAGGGCCTCCAGGGTGGGGAAGTGCCATTCAAATGAGGGCACAGGCTGTCCACAGAGGTAAGACCTGGCCTTCCTTTCCCTTCCCTTGGTGGGAGTAGGAGGTAAGAGGGAAGGTGCAGGCTGCAGAGGCAGGCAGGCTGCTCCGGGTCTGCATTCCCATCTCACAGAGCCGCAGCTGGGGAGGGATGAGCTGATGGAGACCCAGAAGGAAGGCCGTGGGGACCCATGGAGGGGCAGTCCTGCCTGCCGGACAGGTTTGTCTGATGCCAGGGAGGAAAGGGGGAGCTGGGGAGGGGAGAAGCTTCTCCCAGGCCTTGGGAGAACCCAGAGGGTCTGCTAACCTCTCCCCTACCCCAGGTGTGGCTCCGCCTCCCTCTCTTAACCCCAACCCCCTGGCCACGCCCAGACCACCCAGCCCCAGTCTGCAAGGTAATTATAAAGAAGTTAAACCGAATTACACACGCAGGGTTTATTTTGTGTTTTTTCTGCGGCTGCTGCTGCCAATTATGGTGCAATTAGACTGCCTTCGTTAGCAAATGAGATTAGAATTAACATTGTTAATTACTCCTTCTGTTTAATGGGGGAGCCGGTGTGGTGGGGAGGGTAGGAATGGCAGAGACCCCCAAGGGCTGCTGGGCCCATGGGAACTGGAGGCGGCTTGGATTTACCTAAGGTCAAGACAAGTGGGTGAAACAGGGTGGAGTCTGCCCCGTGGGGGCGGGGGGGGGGGGCCTTTGCTTCCCCCTCCCCCTACTGGGGACGCCTTACCACGGAGCTACACCCCCAGCCCTTTTTATTTATTAATTCAATTTTTATTCTGAGGCAGGGTCTGGCTGTTGCCCAGGCTGGCCTCAAGCATGTAACCCTCCTGCCTCAGCCTACAGGATCCCTGGGATTAGAGGCACGTGGCTCAGCGCCCTTCTCATTGATAACACTCACCATGTTTGAGGATTCAGTGAAGCACTTCACAAGCATTACCCACACCACCTCATGAGAAGCAGGCCTTATCATCCCCATTTACAAAGGAGAAAACAGATACTCAGAGAAGTTCATTGATTTTCCCAATGTCACACAGCAATGACAAAGGACAGAATCAGGCACCTCTCCTTGCCCAAGCGCCAGGACCGTGTGTGCGTACATTATATTTTATGTAGTAAGTTTTAAATCAATTCCTTTGGTGCTCTAATTTGGCCCGTGAGGGAAACAGAAATTATTAGCCTCATTTTTCAGATGAGGAAGTTGAGACTCAGAGAGTTTAATGAGGGGCTGGCACACCGTGGCCTACGGGCTGGATGTGGCCGCCACCCGTTTTTGTAAATAAGGTTTATTGGAACACAGGCGTGCCATTTATACTTGTGTTATGAATAAATAATAGTTACTTGCATGTGTGTGTTATGGCTCACCCTCCACTAAAGGACTTTAGCTTATAAACTGTGAACTAAACCAAGTGTCGAGTAGTTGTGGCAGTGACCGCGTGGCCCATGTCATTGATCACCAGCAAAGGACATAGGATTAGTGTACGGGCCTTAGAAAACTCAGGGTCCACTTCTGGGGCAGACAGGACCCCAGCCCTGCTCCCTGGTGGCCCCAGTTCCTGAGCTCTGACAGCCAGAGGAACGGGGGGCGGGGGGCATGAAGAGAGCTGTGGGACCCCCATTCCAACCCCAGGCCTGGGAAACAGGCAAGGCCCACGTCCCGCATCTCCCTTCTGTGCCCTGTGGCTTCTGACTGCTGGTGGGTGGTGGGTGGGCTCATCTCGACAGTGCTATGGGCATGAATCCCCCTGGGAGGCTCGGAACCCTGGGTCCTCTCTCCCAGCCCACATCCTGCCTGGCCCGGAAGGGCAATGGTACCTGGGCACTTCCCCTGCACCCGGGGCCTTTGCCTCTTGTTCTCTTGCCACGGTAGCCAATGAACCCATGAGCTGTGAGCTGCCCACCACGGAGTGGAAGCTGGAGTAGCCCAGGGACTGGGCTGGACCCACCAGGCCACCCTTCCCCAGAGCTGCTGGAACCCCGCCCACTTGTGCCACTGAAGTGGCAGCGCTGATGGCCTTGGCCGGGTGGTCAGGGAAGGTCCTGCCCAGATTGGCAGCTCAGCCCCTCTGCCTCCAGGTCCCTATTCTCCCCCTCCCCCTCCCTTACATAGACTCACAGCCCCTGGGCATCTGGGTTCATGCACCTTGCCAGGGCTTCCTTCCTGCCCTCTGGGCAGGATTTGGGAGGCAGAGAGGGGTGCCCAGGCATTCGAAGAAGGCTCAGGGAGAAGGTGTCAGACGAGGAGGGTCCCATCTGGGTGCACTCGTCTTTCAAAGGCCCAGGAGCAGGTTCCACACGGCCTGCCTTAAGGCAAAGAGCCGTGGGGTGGGAGAAAGAGAGGCGAGCTCGGGTCAGCAAGGGAAGGCCGGGCCTCTTCCTGCCAGCCTCCCCACACAAAAGGTGCAGTGGCCGAGCTCCCTGCCGGTGGCCAGCCCAGGCTTGGTTGCTGATAAGCCCTGTCTTGAGCGATCCCCACGGTACAAGGGTAGGAGGCGTGCTCCCCACCCTTCCCCGCCTTGGGTCAGACACTTGGCTCTGCAGCAAGGGCCTGTGTTACATGCATGCACGCGAGCACACACACACACACACACACACACCCATGCACACCCACACGCACACCCTGCTGGCTTCGGCTTTTCCCACGGCCTGCACATCAGCAAACACTTCCTCCTCGGGCATCTCCTCCAGCTTCAGGCCCAGAGCCTCTAGATGGCTCTGAGCATCCCCAGCTTCTCCAGCTGGGTCTGGGGTGGGGATGGGGGTGCCTCTTCCTCCTCTCTGAGCCACGAGGACTTGGATTGTTGAGGAGGCTCCCGAGATCCATGTCCCTCCCTTCCTGCAGACCCTCGCCCCACGGGAGTCACCCCTCCCCAACCCCCCATAGGACGCCATGGAATGCGCCCTGCCCTGGGTGCCCAGCAGGCGGGGACCCCAGAGGGAAAGCCAGACCCCTCCCCAGGGGGAATGGCCAGCCCCAGGGATTGGGCAGACACTTGACAGATCCCTAAAAACAGGAAAAACAGAGAGGTTCAAATGACACCCACATTCCCTCCCCCCTCCACCCCCCAGCCCAGTTCAGATGTGGAGAGGCCAGTTCCCTGGGGAGAGGTCTCTGGGCCTCTGGGGCCAGGGATGGACTCTGCTGTGGGAAGAGGGTCGCTGGAAAGTGACCCTGGCTTCTCCCTCTTCCCTCGGGGTGGTTGCCCCCAAGCTCAGCTTCCTGAAGGGTTCTTGGCTCCCCACAACCCACCTCTGACCTGCAATGCCCCAAGGGACCCAGAGACCCTGGAAGCCAGGTAGCCGTGTCACAGCCAGCTCCCACGTCCAGACTGCTGGGAGACTTGCAATGTCCCCTGCCAAAGGGTCAGCGATCCTGGGTGGAGGGCAGTGTCTGCAACAGGTCTGCAGACCCACAACCTGGGCCAGAGGCACACGATGATGGAGAGGGGGGGCCCAGACCCTCCCGCTCTCCCTGCCCTCTGGCCCCCTAAGTCACCCTTTGTCAAATCGAGCTTTCTCCCAAATGCCATGTGAGGCTTGGAGGTCCCAAGCTCCAGGCCTTGGTGCAGGCCACGTGGGCACCCTGAAGACGTTCTGCCTGGCCCAGCAGAGAGGTGGAGGGACATGGGAGAAGTTGGGGACGGAAACTTGGAGTTCAACCTGTGTGTCAGGTAAAGGGGGACAAGGAACTGAATGGCCAGGACTTTAGCTGCCTGTTTCTCCATCTGCTAAATGGAAAGAGTCAGTGTCAGAAGGCTGAGATGACGGGGTTGGGGGGCCATCACCAAAGCCGAGGAGGGACCCTCGGTACACACGGAGGGAAACAGGGGAGCCCAGAAAGATGAACTGGGGCCACACACCACAAGGCCAAGGTCAGGGAATTCTGGGTTGATCTGATGGGAAATGGCAAGCGCTCAAAGGTTTCTTGGTGCCCAGACCCTAGCAGAGACATCAAGGGAAAATTGGAAACATGCAAAAAAAATAAAAAAATAAATAAAACCCTACAGAAAACAAGAGACAGAAAGAAAACAAAATAAACAAATAGAAAACAATTTATTCTCTGTCATCTTGGTGAAGAAAATACTCCCGGCCCCAGGCAATGAACTTCCACGTTCCAAGGCCCGAGCAGGAGTCGGGGAGCGGGGAGCAGATGAGGTGGCATCTCCCGGCCACTGACAAACTCTCTCCCGTAGGTTGCCTGGATGTAAAATGTCAGCTTCGGGCCACAACCCATCCACCTGACATTCCTGTTAATAAGGAAGCCTAATTAGCATGGCTTTTAAGCATCCATTACATTAATTTAACGCGAAAATCTAATGGAGCTTTATTGGAATTTTTTTTTCGGCAAAATTAACCCTGTGGGTTTCTTACACATGTTTTCATTAGGGTCTGTGAGCAGGGGAGATAATCAGAGAATTAGAATGAGCCCCAGTGGCTTTCCCTCTAATCCAGGTCCCCTGTCGCCAAGCCCTCGGGGATGTAGGTGTTCTGTTCAGCAAAGCTTTTACCCACACCACCCCCCCCACCGCACCAAATAGTTCTCATAACAGGGGTGGGACATTCGCACCATAGGTGTTGGGGGGGGCAGCATCTCTGGTTCAGAGGCACCCCACTCCATCCCACAGGCTGCAATTCTAGGACCCCGAAGAATTTCAGCTCAGGATCTCTAGACAGGGAGACAGTCACCGACAGAGGTTTGACCCAAGCCCGCCTCTCTACCTCCCTTCCCCTGGCTGTCTTCCAGTTAAGAATGACCATGCAACTCAGTTCTGACCTAAGACAAAGAAGCCTCTGGGGATAGCATCCTTTGCCGCAGCCCGGCTGGCTGCAGCAAAATAACCGGGGGGTGACGAATAGCTTGTGTACTTTGATACAGCAGGAGTAGGAGCCGTTTATTGCAGGACAGGAGCAGTATTTATACATTCCACAGAGCTTATCTAATTAGCATAAACTAGATACATCAGTCAACCAATCAGGAATCTCTACACTTAATGGCTCGCTTTTGTTACTTCTCAAACCACTCCCTCTGGCATTTTGCCAGGCACCATCCAGACTTGTTTACGAACTCTAACATTCCCCTGGCTAAATGCCAGGTGTTATTTTGACTTGTTTACAGACTCTAACAATCCTTCCCTTAATAAAAAAGCTAAACTAGAAGAATAACTTCTACCCTTTCTCCTTCTCTCTTCTTCCTGCCTGGAACATGGATGTAAGGTACAGAGCAACAGCAGCCATCTTCTGCCAGGGTCAAAACACCAGGCTAAGGAACAGGAAGAACGTGGGCCACTGAGGCAAGGTTGAGCTGCTGTGGTTCCAGCACTCACAGTGGACACCCGGGCTCCTTGTTGCTCCTTACACCAATCTTTATACCTGGATTCTGGCTGTCGATTCTCCGTGGTGTTGGGCAGGTCCCTGCCCTTCTCCAAGCATCGATTTCCTCACCTGTAAAAACAGATGATCGGAGTGAACCATGTTTTTCCAACACTTCTTTTGAATACTGAGCCCCACCCCCTCCAATGACATGGTGTCTCAAGTGAGATTATTGAGACCTAACCCAGGGTGGGCATGGTGTCACGTGTCCTGCATTGATAAATGCAGACCCTGATTCAGGTCCCAGGCGATGCCCACGTTCCTGGCCCCGGGGCCACATTTTGCCTAGCAATTGGGCTGTCCTGGGCGCTGGGCCATCCCCGTCCCCGTAGCACATCCCCGGCCTGGAGCAGGGAGGAGAGCGTGGCTCCAGTCTGCACAGATGGCGCCAGAACGCTGACTCTGCCACTCCACTGTGTCGCTGGGGACAAGTTGCCCAACCTCTCTGAGCTTTTGTTCCTTTAGAAATGACACATCAGAGTCACGGTGCATGGTTCTGGGTGCTACGAAGCTGAGTCACACTCTGAAGCCGGGAGGGGTTGCACCCGAGGCCCAGTAGTGACCCCGGCACACACTCTGCCACCCTCCTGCAGCGAGGCTACCCAGCTGGCTGGACGGGCCAGGGCTGGCACTGCTTGGGGGTGGGACCTAGAAATCAGGGAGACAGGCAGTGGGAGGAGGAGCCTGGAGGGGGCATGTCAGAACATTCCGGCATCCAAAGAAGTGCCAATTACATGCAAATAGCATCTCTCTCTAAAGAGAATATAACTCACCAAAGTCGCCTCTCCCTGAGGACTCTCCTTTGGGCAACCTGGCTTCGGAAGAGCCGCAGGCCTTATCTCCCCGTTGACCTCACAAATGCTGGGCCTCATGATGGGAAGGAAGTCACCCTAGACCTTGCCACATCTGCTCCAAACCTCACCCTCGATTTTTTTCAGGTGGAAAAAATGAAGACCCAGAGAGGTTAAGCAACTTGTTCAAAGCTCACACAGCAAGTTGGATGAACCGCCCAGTTGTACTCCAGGTCTCCTGTCCATGGTGACAGGGAGGGGGGAAGTCCTTGTGTAGTCCTAAGGAGCCAGCCTGAAGGAGGCAAGAAGAGCATGACAAGACACTGTCACGGGGCCAACTAAGACAAAGCCCTTTTGTAGGCCAAGCAGCCAAGACAGGAAATAGGAATGTCAGGGCTCTGGCTCCCCAATTAGTGTCAGTATTTCTCTGTAACCCGCGCCCTGCAGGTGGCCAGTCTGGCTGCCTTGGAGAGCCCCTCCTCACCAGATCCCTGGGGGTTTTTGGCCAAACCAACAATGTAGGGCTTGAAGGTGGGGGTAGGAGCCTGCCTGCCACCTCTGCCTGCCTACATGGTATCAGAAAGGTGTCCAGACGGGTGTCACCGGAGCCCAGCTTCCAACGCCATCTCAGCTCCTCCTGGCTGTGTGAGCTTGGGCCAGGGCCTCCCCACTCTGGTCTTTTGGCTCCTTGGCTATAAAAGGTGACAGAAATTGTACCGCACCAGGAGCGTTCAACCCCACACAGGTAGAGCTTGTGCTTGGCACAACCGGTCCTCCACACATGGGGCTCCCTGCCATCTGATGACCAGGGCAGACCTGATGACCAGGTTCTAGCCTGACGGGGAGAGAAACGTCACCTTTGAATGAATGCCTCAGGAGCCGTCTGCTCTGGAGCCTGGATGAGGTTTCCCCAACGCCAACGGATTTCGGTTTCCAAATTGAATCACGGTTCGCTCAGGCCAAGATCCAAATGAGCTCACCACGGAGGACCGTCTGGGAGAGCAACCGCCCGCGATGAAGACTTAGAGATGACTGGGTCAAACTGGCGCTGGTCAGCAGCGGCTCCAGCCACCTCCATCCATCGACGTAGGAAGTGACAGCCAGAAAGGGACCCAGGGAGGCCACCCGCAAGCTGTCAAAGCCTCCGCAGGCCTCAGAGGCCAACCGGCCGGAGGACCAGGGCCCCCTCCTCCTTGAGCCGGGGGCGGGGGCCTGGGCAGCTGGTGGCAGGTCCACGCCTCCCCGGCTCTCCCTGCCTGGGCCCATTTCTGTGTCCCGCCAACCTGTAAGAAGCACCTCCTCGCGGGCCCCAGGGCCGCAGCATCTGGATCAATCTGCACCAGCCGTCTCTCATCATTGCCTGCCCTGCTTCTCCACCAAGCATGGAGTCTCCAGAGTGTGGCCTGACTCTTGGTCTTCCTGTGTATACATCACACTCACACACACACATGCTCGCTGCCCAGACCATGTGGGCCCGTCCACACTCGCGGCTTCCCCTTCCTCTCCATTCCCTAGCTCAAAGGCCCATCTGGAAACACCAGTCAGGGCAGCCCCCGAGCACGCCCAGCTGAGCCAACAAATGCCCTGCATGGGGTCGGGACAGCTGGTCCTCTCCCTGCCCCGCCTTGCTGCCACCAGCTTGCTGTGTGATCTTGGGCTCTCACCGGCCCTCTCTGAGCCTTATCTGTAAAATGTAGGAGTTACACCACATAGTCCAAGGTCCCTTCTGCCTCTGACATCCCGAGTCCCTCACCTCCTTACCAAAGAGGGAAACAGAAGAGCCGGCCTGGACGGCCCTGCTCAGTGTGAGGAAAGCGAGCAGAGTCTCCACAGGGCTGTGTCCCTGCTCAGGCCATCTAGGGAGAAACGTGGCCACGGGCGTAGGAGAGGGAAGCTCCACACCAGGCTTAATTGCACAGAAGCCGATTGGAAACTGAGAGCCCAGAGTTAGCTCAGAGGAAAGAGTGGTGCTTATTTGGGTGGTTATGCCAATGGTTGCTGCAAAGGGCTCTGGGAGGCCTGATTATCCACCTGTGTGAAGAGGCAGGGTCCAGGATGAGAAGTGAAACCCCATGTTCTGCGGTTCCCAGGACACCCCCCTCTGAGGCTGGGTCCTCTGTCCTCCCCGCCCTGCAAACCAGAGCATGCTCTTCCCACCTCCAAGGTGGCAGAGACCCGCCCTGCTGTGGACCTAGGAAGCCCTGCCCTGTTTGGCAGGGAGGCCACCTTGGCTCTCGGTCCCACTGCAGGAGGGGGGCTGTGGCCTCCAGCTCCCCTGGTGGCCCCCAGCGACCAGCCTCCTGCAGTTCATGCCCCTGCATGATTCTCCCCCAAGATGTGGCATCAAGGGGACCTTGCACGCATGTGACTTCTGGGGCTAGGTCATTGAGGACTCTGCTGCCTCTGCTTTGTTCCATCGCCATGTTGTGAGGACACTCAAGCAGCCCTAGGAGGCTGTCCCCACGGCAGGGACCTGAGGCTCTTCACCACCCCGGCACCTCTTGCCAGGCCTGCGCGTGAGGCGTCTGGGAGAGTGGCCTCCTGGGGCAGATTCTGCAGCCCTCAGCAGACCCTCAGGTGCCTGGGCCAGCACCTGCGGCTCCCCAAGAAACTCCAAGCCAGAGGCTCCCTGCTGGGCTGCCCCAGATGCCTCACTTGAAGAAGCTGTGAGAGACCGAGCATGGCTGTCATCATAAGCCACTGAGGTCGGAGGGAGACTTGTCAACTGTCAGTAGGTAACGATACGGGGCAGGATCTCTAGTGACATGTTGTGATTCTGTGTCGGAGGCCAGGCCATGCAGGGCAGAGGGACCGCTGGGGGACCTGTGAGCAGGAGGCTTGATTCTGGTCTCCAGAGGAAGGAGAGGGTGAGGTGTGGGGAGAAGGCTCAGGGCTGCCAGTTGGAGTCACATCAGTGAGTTCTGGGGTGCAAGGTAAGCACTAGTCTTTCAGTGCTGGGGCCTGGGGAGAGGGACGATCAGTGACCTGGAGTATAGGTGTCCATTGGCTCTGGGCTCCCGACAGGGTGGTCTGCATACAACAGGCCCCCTGCCAGGTTTTGGCAGCTCTAAGAGGGCAGCTTCCCCAAGGTCAGCAAGGCCCAGAGGCCAAACCATCGGAAATTCAGGAAGGAAAAGAAGTGATGGGTACCAGGGAGAGGCCAGAGCTGCAGGCCCTCTGCACCCCATAGCCCCATAACACAGCTTCCTGTTGTTTAGAGGCCCTGAGGAGGCTGGGGAAGGAGGCTAGGGAGGGAGGCTGGGTCCTCATAGTGGCTCCACCTAGGCCCATCCGCCCCTCCTCAGCCACACCCGATGGCCCTGTAGCCTGAAGACCAGGCCCGCCAGGCCCTCTCTAATCTGTATAAACTGCCTCTGAGGCTCATGGCCTCCCACCGCTGCCATGACCTGCCATCCTCTCCCGGGGCCACTCTGTCCCCCAGCCCAGGTGAAAAATGGGGACCTTCCCAGGTGAAAAATGGCTTCTCTCCGGTTTTCACCTCCAGCTCCTCCCCCCTCCCACTTCTCCGCAGCCCAAGAGGCCCCTCCAACCACGACCTTCCCCCCTCCCTTCCCTTTCTGCCCCTCTCTCTATTCAACAGGCAAACTGGAGAAATGGTAAACGTTTTTTCCCATTATTCAAATGGCATGGAAATTACCTACTTGGCATTCCTCTTTGACATGGAGCCTTTAATTAGCCACTGGCTGCCGATCCCTGGGTGTTTCTCTAGCTCCGCAGCCACCCCCACCCCCGACCGCCTTCCCCTCCATCCGCATCCTAACCAGGGATGCCCAGGCTTCGAGGAAAGAGAGGGAAGGGCGTGGTTCCCAGAGAGAGCTCCTGGGGTCTGGTTCTGGTCTCTGATCGTCTAACCAACTATCCAGCGGCCTTAGACTTCAGTGGGGTCCCAAACAAACTGGGGGGCAGAGCTGGGCTCCCGGGGCTCTGGGCCCATCCAACTCTCCATCTGCCCCCCCTTCACATGTGCCCCTCCCAGACACCTCCCCTGGGCTCCTGCCTCTCCCCGTTGTGGGGGTTCAGCCCACTACTCCCTTGGCCATTGCCTAGGGCGGGGCCCTGACCCGTGGGATCAGCTCTTAGAGAGGGCTCGGCTCTCTGGCCTCACAAACCCATGACAAAAATCCTAGCTGCCACTCACAGAGCACCTACCTCAACAGGCCCAGACTTGCATGGTCTCTGCTTCTCAAAAACACCCTGGGAAGCAGCTAAGTGTCTTAACAGATGAGAAAACCGAGGTTCAGAGAAAACCTGTTGCCCGAGGGGACTCAGCAGGCAAGTAGCAAAGCCAGGAGCCGGCCCTGTCCCCAAGGGCCTTCCCTTCACTATACTGTTGTCTTCTCCAGCGGTGATTTGACGGAGGCCCCAGCTCTCCTTATGTTCTGTCCTCCTAGAACTGAAGCCCCCCAATGGCCCACTCCCCCCTTATCCCCTGCACAGGAGGTGCCCGGATGTGCAGCTGGTACTATCAACAGCCAACAGCGGTCCACAGAGGCAGAACCCAGGTCACACAGCAAGGAAGGGGCTCTATGGATCAAATCTGGGTCCAGCCTTAGCTACATAGGTGAGGGCCCAGTGCCTCCGGTGTCGGGGACCCGTCGGGCTCCATCAATTTTG